TGTATTTTTATTTTACTTTTATCATTGTGTTCATGAGCAGTTTTGTTTTATACTGAAAAAGGCTGAAAAAAAAGTGTATTTTTAATGTCAAAAAGGAAACACTGAAATGTAAAATATGTAGAAGGACCAACGTTTATGAACACATTTGGTTTAGTTTTTCTTGTTTCTTATTGTGTACGACCGAGGCCAGGACTTTGCTGGATGCAGAACTGGGACTTTAGCTGCTCCTTTGTGAATGTAAATATTATAAATACTGTTTGAACTGTTGCAACTACGGGAAATAAAACACTTTAATATTTGATTTTTACCAATTTGTGAGTGCAAATAATTATAACTGTTCATGGGGGATTAAACGAGAGGAAATATGATGCGAATGTGGCTTCTTAACTGTTTCTACAATGTTCTCTGATCTAAAACAGACCTGGAGTTGCTTTTTGGATCCGTCCATGCTTCTGGTGCACAGATAGCCCCGCCCCTTCTGTCTAAAAGCTCCCGTCTCAGTCCTGTTACGGTATGATGTCACACTCGTCTTTCTGTCTTTGTCTGGCAACTTCTCATCTGGAATTAAGTTTTTTACAATCACAAGTCTGTTTGAAGTCGGCAGCGTTTGAATGTGGGAGGAAAAAATAAATAAATCAGCTCCCTCTGGTGGAAGCATAAGGAGTTACAGGCGGAAAGCATTTTTCACCCTTCATACCATGGTCTATACATTTTCTGCTTATGGCATTATTAATTGGCAAAAAAATGAATAATATTTCTTTGAATAAATAAATATTTTCCTGAATTATGAAGAAATGAGAATGACACATGGACACGACCAGAATGGGAAATGATGAGAAAGTAATTAGCAAATATAATCCATTCTTTTAATATTGGGCTTTTGCTGAAATCTTCCAACATTTAAGGTTTCCGAATGATGAGAAAAGTTGGCAAGTTGAGGTTGAAGAATGTCTTAATTGTCTTAAATACACAAACTTAGATCCAGCTTTTATACAGTGCTATTATAGACAAGGGTCTGTCCTGATACAAGTCCATTCAGGTTCAGTTTAGACCTGGTTTTGTAACGAGACCACAGAAAACGTGAACAAATCAGACCACTGCACGCTGGATCTAAGCTGAGAGGGTGGTTTTCTGATACAGTGAGAGGTCAAAGTCACATGTGAAAAGTAGTGGTAGAATCATTTTAGAGCCAGGAACAAGTACTTGGATTGTATTATAGTTACTTTGGTTTAAAATGTAGTTACTTCAGCTTTAGACTATTTAAATACTGTGTTTATAGAAGCTCAGACAAGTTTTGTGTGTCAAACCAACATGTTTTCCAGTGTAGCAAGTTTAAGCCGAGTTGATTCCTTCATTTGCTAAAATAACAAGAGTTCTACACAGTTCAAAGTTTATTACATTCAGTTCAATAAATACAGACAGTGGTTTCTGCCTCAAAGTGCTGCTGGAGGGAACAGGAAGTGGCTCAGAGCTCTCGTCGGTACGTCGTCATGGGAACGGGCCACTGGTCGCTGTGGCTCAGGTCCGACTCCAGTTCTCGCTGCTTCTGGAGCAAACCCTGAAAATAAAGTTTTTTTTTTTATGTACAAGAGTTAAAAGGTATACAGGAGGATTTTCCCACATTTTAGGAAAGAACTGCTCTCTCCAATTTTTTAGCAAAACTCTCTGGTCTTATTGGACAGGCACGTATCATCGGAATGATTGACATTTGGGAGGACCAATAGTCTTAATGATCCACCCGGAAGTAGACAATCCTCATAACTTTGAAGGTAAAAACAAGACATAGTTTTGGTTTTGTGTCCACCATAGACTGCAGTGATGTCAGCCATACTGGTAGCCTTAATGCGGAGGAGGCTGATTAGAGCTAGCTTAAAACAGGCTATTTGAGCGAGAATATGCTACTTGCTCGTGAACGCCAAATTTGGGAACAGAAGGCTCCTGATAGGTCGGATGTTAGAGCTCATATCTGAACAGTGTCTGAGCAGTATTCTTTTCGATGTGAGTCAACTGGAGCCAGGGCGAGTGGGAGAATTTCTATTTGAGAAGAAATGAGAATGACACATGGACACGACCAGAATGGGAAATGATGAGAAAGTAATTAGCAAATATAATCCATTCTTTTAATATTGGGCTTTTGCTGAAATGTTCCAACATTCAAGGTTTCCGAATGATGAGAGAAGTTGCCAAGTTGAGGTTGAAGAATGTCTTAATTGTCTTAAATACACAAACTTAGATCCTGCTTTTATACAGTGCTATTATAGACAAGGGTCTGTCCTGATACAAGTCCATTCAGGTCCAGTTTAGACCTGGTTTTGTAACGAGACCACAGAAAAGCCGCTTCACCTGTCTGAGCCGGGCCAGGCCTCTGATGATCTCCTCTTGTCTCGGAGTTTTCTGCAGAATCTGAGGAGTGGCAGCTGAAAACAAAAAACACATGACATATTTATTACAGTTTCACTAACTGCTTTTGTTATAGCAGTTGTGAACTTTCCATTTCAATGTATTCAGAACATTTTATGGAAAAGTGAAAGTGTGGCTGGACGCTCCCTTAGAGATGAGGTGAAGAGCTCGATCACATGGGAGGAGCTCGGAGTAGAGCCGCTGCTGCTCCACATCGAGAGGAACCAGTTGAGGTGGCTAAAAACAGAAGCCCGAGCCACCTCCCGGATGTCCCACCAGGAGTAGACCCAGGCTGGGACACTCTTGGCTGGCCTGGGAACACCGCGGGACTCAGGATTCTCTGCTTAGACTGTGTTTGCGACCCGGCAACAGATAAAGCGGAAGAAAACGCATGGATGGACAGAAACAAATATTCAGTCCCAGTAGGTTTTGTGATTTTCCCTGACCCTTTAATGAGCAAACCTGTAGTTTCCATGTCTCCAGATACATTCAAGATTTTCAGATCAAAGAAATGTAGAAAGAATAGAAGGAGAAGGTTTTTTTTAAAGTCTGTTCTTTTGACGACACAGGAGAGAGAGAAGCTGTGAGAGTTACCGCAGTGAGGAGAGGGCTGTGGCTGCGTCTCCGGTGGCTTCAGGATAAAGGCGTCGTCTGATCGAATGTGAAGGCGAGAGTCTGGAGCTGCAGGTTCAGGAGAGCGGCCTCTGAGAGAGACAATAACACATCCATCAGGTTTTATACTTTGTGAACTTTGGCTTTAAGCAGGAGAAGCCTCACCTCTCTGTAGTGAGCCGCTCGCTGGTCTCCACCTGAAGCACAGGAGACAAGTTCAGCTTCAAAACAGACGAATGAGAAGCAGAAGATGGAGTCAAAGATTGGAAATAATTAATACAACTAACATGACTGCTACTGAGTCCCTCTCTGGCCCGCCTCTCTCTCTCTCTGGCCCGCCTCTCTCTCGCCCGCCTCTCTCTCTCTCTGGCCCGCCTCTCTCTGGCCCGCCTCTCTCTGGACCGCCTCTCTCTGGACCGCCTCTCTCTGGACCGCCTCTCTCTGGACCGCCTCTCTCTGGACCGCCTCTCTCTGGACCGCCTCTCTCTGGCCCGCCTCTCTCTGGCCCGCCTCTCTCTGGCCCGCCTCTCTCTGGCCCGCCTCTCTCTGGCCCGCCTCTCTCTGGCCCGCCTCTCTCTGGCCCGCCTCTCTCTGGCCCGCCTCTCTCTGCCTCTGCGTGTGTCCGTCTCTGCGTCTGTCCGTCTCTGCGTCTGTCCGTCTCTGCGTCTGTCCGTCTCTGCGTCTGTCCGTCTCTGCGTCTGTCCGTCTCTGCGTCTGTCCGTCTCTGCGTGTGTCCGTCTCTGCGTGTGTCCGTCTCTGCGTGTGTCCGTCTCTGCGTGTGTCCGTCTCTGCGTGTGTCCGCCTCTGCGTGTGTCCGCCTCTGCGTGTGTCCGCCTCTGCGTGTGTCCGCCTCTGCGTGTGTCCGCCTCTGCGTGTGTCCGTCTCTGCGTGTCTCTGCGTGTGTCCGCCTCTGCGTGTGTCCGTCTCTGCGTGTGTCCGTCTCTGCGTGTGTCCGTCTCTGCGTGTGTCCGCCTCTGCGTGTGTCCGCCTCTGCGTGTGTCCGCCTCTGCGTGTGTCCGCCTCTGCGTGTGTCCGCCTCTGCGTGTGTCCGCCTCTGCGTGTGTCCGCCTCTGCGTGTGTCCGCCTCTGCGTGTGTCCGCCTCTGCGTGTGTCCGCCTCTGCGTGTGTCCGTCGTGTCCGTCTCTGCGTGTCTCTGCGTGTGTCCGTCTCTGCGTGTCTCTGCGTGTGTCCGTCTCTGCGTGTGTCCGCCTCTGCGTGTGTCCGTCTCTGCGTGTGTCCGCCTCTGCGTGTGTCCGCCTCTGCGTGTGTCCGCCTCTGCGTGTGTCCGCCTCTGCGTGTGTCCGCCTCTGCGTGTGTCCGTCTCTGCGTGTGTCCGCCTCTGCGTGTGTCCGCCTCTGCGTGTGTCCGTCTCTGCGTGTGTCCGTCTCTGCGTGTCTCTGCGTGTGTCCGACTCTGCGTGTGTCCGCCTCTGCGTCTGTCCGTCTCTGCGTGTGTCCGTCTCTGTGTGTGTATGTCTGTCTCTGTCTGTCTCTGCGTCTGTCCGTCTCTGCGTCTGTCCGTCTCTGCGTCTGTCCGTCTCTGCGTCTGTCCGCCTCTGCGTGTGTCCGTCTCTGCGTGTGTCCGTCTCTGCGTGTGTCCGCCTCTGCGTGTGTCCGCCTCTGCGTGTGTCCGCCTCTGCGTGTGTCCGCCTCTGCGTGTGTCCGCCTCTGCGTGTGTCCGCCTCTGCGTGTGTCCGCCTCTGCGTGTGTCCGTCTCTGCGTGTGTCCGTCTCTGCGTGTGTCCGTCTCTGCGTCTGTCCGTCTCTGCGTCTGTCCGTCTCTGCGTGTCTCTGCGTGTGTCCGTCTCGGCGTGTGTCCGTCTCTGCGTGTGTCCGCCTCTGCGTGTGTCTGCCTCTGCGTGTGTCCGTCTCTGCGTGTCTCTGCGTGTGTCCGTCTCTGCGTGTGTCCGCCTCTGCGTGTGTCCGTCTCTGCGTGTCTCTGCGTGTGTCCGTCTCTGCGTGTCTCTGCGTGTGTCCGTCTCTGCGTGTGTCCGCCTCTGCGTGTGTCCGTCTCTGCGTGTGTCCGCCTCTGCGTGTGTCCGTCTCTGCGTGTGTCCGTCTCTGCGTGTCTCTGCGTGTGTCCGTCTCTGCGTGTGTCCGCCTCTGCGTGTGTCCGTCTCTGCGTGTGTCCGCCTCTGCGTGTGTCCGCCTCTGCGTGTGTCCGCCTCTGCGTGTGTCCGCCTCTGCGTGTGTCCGTCTCTGCGTGTGTCCGCCTCTGCGTGTGTCCGCCTCTGCGTGTGTCCGCCTCTGCGTGTGTCCGTCTCTGCGTGTGTCCGTCTCTGCGTGTCTCTGCGTGTGTTCCGACTCTGCGTGTGTCCGCCTCTGCGTGTGTCCGCCTCTGCGTGTGTCCGCCTCTGCGTGTGTCCGCCTCTGCGTCTGTCCGCCTCTGCGTGTGTCCGCCTCTGCGTCTGTCCGCCTCTGCGTCTGTCCGTCTCTGCGTCTGTCCGTCTCTGCGTCTGTCCGTCTCTGCGTCTGTCCGTCTCTGCGTCTGTCCGTCTCTGCGTCTGTCCGTCTCTGCGTCTGTCCGTCTCTGCGTCTGTCCGTCTCGGCGTCTGTCCGTCTCGGCGTCTGTCCGTCTCTGCGTCTGTCCGTCTCTGCGTGTGTCCGTCTCTGTGTGTGTATGTCTGTCTCTGTCTGTCTCTGCGTCTGTCCGTCTCTGCGTCTGTCCGTCTCTGCGTCTGTCCGCCTCTGCGTGTGTCCGTCTCTGCGTGTGTCCGTCTCTGCGTGTGTCCGCCTCTGCGTGTGTCCGCCTCTGCGTGTGTCCGCCTCTGCGTGTGTCCGCCTCTGCGTGTGTCCGCCTCTGCGTGTGTCCGCCTCTGCGTGTGTCCGCCTCTGCGTGTGTCCGCCTCTGCGTGTGTCCGTCTCTGCGTGTGTCCGTCTCTGCGTCTGTCCGTCTCTGCGTCTGTCCGTCTCTGCGTCTGTCCGTCTCTGCGTGTCTCTGCGTGTGTCCGTCTCTGCGTGTGTCCGTCTCTGCGTGTGTCCGTCTCTGCGTGTGTCCGCCTCTGCGTGTGTCCGCCTCTGCGTGCGTGTGTCCGTCTCTGCGTGTCTCTGCGTGTGTCCGTCTCTGCGTGTGTCCGTCTCTGCGTGTCTCTGCGTGTGTCCGTCTCTGCGTGTCTCTGCGTGTGTCCGTCTCTGCGTGTCTCTGCGTGTGTCCGTCTCTGCGTGCCTCTGCGTGTGTCCGTCTCTGCGTGTGTCCGTCTCTGCGTGTCTCTGCGTGTGTCCGTCTCTGCGTGTGTCCGCCTCTGCGTGTGTCCGTCTCTGCGTGTGTCCGCCTCTGCGTGTGTCCGTCTCTGCGTGTGTCCGTCTCTGCGTGTCTCTGCGTGTGTCCGTCTCTGCGTGTGTCCGTCTCTGCGTGTGTCCGCCTCTGCGTGTGTCCGTCTCTGCGTGTGTCCGCCTCTGCGTGTGTCCGCCTCTGCGTGTGTCCGCCTCTGCGTGTGTCCGTCTCTGCGTGTGTCCGCCTCTGCGTGTGTCCGCCTCTGCGTGTGTCCGTCTCTGCGTGTGTCCGTCTCTGCGTGTGTCCGTCTCTGCGTGTGTCCGCCTCTGCGTGTGTCCGCCTCTGCGTGTGTCCGCCTCTGCGTGTGTCCGCCTCTGCGTGTGTCCGCCTCTGCGTGTGTCCGCCTCTGCGTCTGTCCGTCTCTGCGTCTGTCCGTCTCTGCGTCTGTCCGTCTCTGCGTCTGTCCGTCTCTGCGTTTGTCCGTCTCTGCGTCTGTCCGTCTCTGCGTCTGTCCGTCTCTGCGTCTGTCCGTCTCTGCGTCTGTCCGTCTCGGCGTCTGTCCGTCTCGGCGTCTGTCCGTCTCGGCGTCTGTCCGTCTCTGCGTCTGTCCGTCTCTGCGTGTGTCCGTCTCTGCGTGTGTCCGTCTCTGCGTGTGTCCGTCTCTGCGTGTGTCCGTCTCTGCGTGTGTCCGTCTCTGCGTGTGTCCGTCTCTGCGTGTGTCTCTGTGTATGTATGTCTGTCTCTGTCTGTCTCTGCGTCTCACCAGGCTGGAGGTCCTGGCCGCCTCGGTGTCACTGGGCTCATGCTCTGGGGTGGGGCTGAGCCGTGGGGGCAGGGTGGGAGGGTTCTTCTGCAGCGACAGGAGCTGGGCCTGCCTCATCAGACGACTCTGCTGCCTCTGACGCTGCAGCTCCTCGGGGTAACGCTGAGAAGCCGGGACGAAGCGGCGGCTGGGTCTGAACACACACACAACAACACACAGAGTCAAGTCTCATTCAAACACTGCAAAAAAATGATAAAATGAGGTAATAATTGCTTGAAAGAAAAGTGTTTTATCCTGATATGAGCACATTCTGAGTGTCTTTAGACTAAATGGCTTTCACAGATCTCATTTTCTTTCAAGAAATTTTGCTGTATTTTCTTATTCCAAGAAAGACATTTCATATATATTTTTAAAACAAGATAATTCAGTTTCTCCCATTGGAAAATCTTTTCAAAATGTGAGGAATCGTTGACAGTTTTTTCATTACTTTTTGCAGTGAAGCTCGGTTACCCAACTTTCTCCTTTTCCTAAATAATCCATGTTGTTTTTTCCAATAGAAAGAGTCTTGCAAAAGTTTGAGCTGCTTTGATCTTATTAGAAAGAAAAGCAAAAAATAGTACATGTTAAGTTTTCAAAAGATATGAAGTTACATAAATGCTTGAATGGAGGATTCTCAGACAGTCCTCAACACGATTCACAAATGGAGAAACCAGTTCAGTCTTAATTCAAGTCGCTTGCAATTTATTCCTCATTTCAAGGGAGAATTTAATTAAATCTTCAGGTCTCTTAAAACAAGACATTTTTGCTTGTTCCGTGGACAAAAGGCAAAAGTCACTCACATCAAGATACGTTTAGCCTTATTCAAGCAAATTTGAACCTTTTTGCTAGACTTGTTTTTTTCACATTTCTGTCTGTAAAGGTTGAGAGATGGGACAGACAGAAACAAATATTATTATAGTTAGCAGTTTATATTTATTACTTATTATTCATTGTTATTGCTGTTTGGGTACCCCAGCTGGATCCGAGCCCTCTGCTTTTGAGATTTAAAACGACTCCAATTACAGTATGTAAAGCTCAGAAAAGGCAGTCTTTCAGAACACCTTTGATAAAACACAGGAGAGCAGGAGTGTCCGTACCTCTGCGTGTTCCACTCCGGCCTCTTCACGTCCCTCCGGCTGCGCTCGCTCCTGGAGTACGGCTCATACGCCTCTGTCCCGACGTCTTTGTGAAACATCTGTAGCATCTGCAGCACCTGAGCTCGGTCCACGACGCCGAGACCAGGACCCGGAGCCAAGGAGACCGCCTCCTCTGGGAGAAAGGGAACCGCGTAAACCACAGGATGGTCAGGGGCCGGGTTTAAAACAAGAGCTGGTTTCAAAGTCTATCTGGTTTATTTGACATGTGTTCTCCATATTCTGTTGTGATTATTAGATTTTTATTACAACTGCAGAAAAGGAGTAGCTGCTTCTTCTGTTGTATAAAAGCAGCTCTCGGATTGAAAAAGGACTTTGACTATACTTTTAAAACAAGGACTCCATCGTTCATCTTAGACAGTTCCTGACTTGGATTGTGTGACATCACAGCGACTATAAAACAATCTATCCTTGTTTTAAAAATATATCATTAACTAGATGAGTGGACGGCTACAGTATTTCAATTAGCAATGAGTTGTGATTAATCATTGAAACTAATTTCTTAAACTACTTCCTGGTCTGGACCTGCCCCCACCTGTTTGGACGCCGGTCTCTTTGTGATGATTGACAGCTGTTGGTCCCGCCTCCAGCTCAGGGCTGTTATCGGCATCAGCTGCAAACAGAAACAGGTATCAGAGTGAGTTTGTGGAGCGTTTGAGCCGTCACTGTTTCTATAAAGTCCCAGGACTCACTGTCGGACTGTGGTTCAGGCTCGGAGCAGTTTGGGATCCGCAGCTCGGTCTCAGGACTCGGCTCCTGGAGAAATAACACAAAAAGGTTTTTAAGTATAGAGTTGTCAAAAGCACTAACAAACAGATATTTAAATCCATACACAAAACAAAATCAAACCTAGTGTTTATGCTCAAAAACTAAAAACTGGAGATTCTCGGAGCAGCATTTGAATGACTGAAGGTTTTTGTAACAGCAACATGCCTTACACTGTAATGTGTTATTCACATGTTTAAATATATAACATATATATATATATATATTTATTATCACTGTGGTCATCGATATTGGTATAAAGTCTTAGTATTGGAATGAACTAATTAATGATTGAGTTTATGTAATGTAAGTATCATGACGACATCAGTCCCAATCCTTATTATTCCAACTTAAGCTCAGACTAATGGAAAATAGTTTGGCTTTGAAATGTCCCCGCTGTGTGACGAAAACAAGATCTGACCGTCTTAATCCTGTTTCCACATCGTTCCCTTTAATCTCGGGTCAAAAGCTTGAGCATCACTCGTTCTGTCAAAACCCAAAGTGTCGAACCAGTGGCTGCACATTTTAGTTCCATGTTTTTTTAAATGTCGCTTTCCCAGCTTCAAGTTGCTGCAGATCGGTTCCTTCCTGCCTCAACTTTATTCCTTACTTCCTTCCTTCAACTTCCTCACCCTAAACCTCAACTTCCTTCTTCCTTCTTCCTTCCTCACCCTGTGTGTCTCTCTCTGCGTGTCCTTCTCGTGTTGCCTCTGTCGTCTCTCCTTCTCGTATTGCCGCTGGAGTCTGTCTCTCTCCTGCTCCAGCCTCAGCTCCTCCTCCTCTTCCTCCCGTTTCCGCTGCAGCTCCTCCTCCTCCCTGCGCCGCCGTCGCTCCTCCATCTGCAGCTCGATTGCTCGCTGCAAACACAGGCGTGAAGTATGTATTATTAGAATCACTGCATTTAGCTTCAAATGGACGATCGAAGCATGACAGAAGGAGCCAAATACACTACTTTACGAGTGGGGGGAGGATGGAGCGTGATATTGAAGGCGGATCGGTGCAGCGTGCGCAGTGATGCGGTCGCTGTATCGGACCGTTGTGGTAAAGAGGGAGCTGAGCCGAAAGACAAAGCTCTCGATTTACCGGTCAATCTTCGTCCCCTCCCTCACCTATGGTCATGAGGGAGCAGTGTCTGCAGTCAGAGCTCCCCTCCCTCACCTATGGTCATGAGCTTTGGGTAATGACCGAAAGAACGAGATTGCGGATACAAGCGGTCGAAATGAGCTTCCTCCGCAGAGTGGCTGGGCGCTCCCTTAGAGATAGGGTGAGGAGCTCAGTCACACGGGAGGAGCTCGGAGTAGAGCCGCTGCTTCTCCACGTTGAGAGGAACCAGTTGAGGTGGCTCGGGCATCTGTTCAGGATGCCTCCTGGACGCCTTCTTGGGGAGGTGTTCCGGGCACGTCCCACCGGGAGGAGGCCCCGGGGAAGACCCAGGACACGCTGGAGGGACTATGTCTCTCAGCTGGCCTGGGAACGCCTTGGGGTCCCCCTGGACGAGCTGGAGGAGGTGTGTGTGGATAGGGAAGTCTGGGCGTCTCTGCTTAGACTGCTGCCCCCGCGACCCGGCAACGGATAAAGCGGAAGAAAATGGATGGATGGATGGATGGATCATCTTCATCCCCTTGTCCATTTCTGGGTCCGGGGGTTTGGCATCAGAGCGGTCACTCAACTCATAACAACCAACGCTCTACCAACTGAGCCACTGTACTTATAATAACCATTACAATAATGCATTGGTTTTATAGAGTGATTTTTGGACGTAAAAAGATGCTTCACATGTCATTCTTTCACTTCATACACGGTGGTGATAAACTGCTACCGTAGCCACAGCTGCCCTGGGGCACACAGACAAAAGCAAGGCAACCAGTGTGTGCCATCAGCCCCTCTGACCATAACTAACCATTCAAACACACACCAGACTAAACCAAAATAAAATACACACACGCTGATCACCTTTTATCATCAGTAATTTCATGAACTAACAATGACATTGTTTGATATGGTTTGTAGTTTGGACTAAACACAGGTGTGCCTTGTATTATTCATTTTTGGGCTCTATATTCATTACAATGTGTTTTAGATGTTAGTGTATAAAAGGGAAGCTTCAATCGTAGAGAGAGACTTGATCAGAAACCAAGAAGAGGTCAATGTATGGCCAAAGCACAAGTGGCCTCTGGGTGATCCGCAGACGAGCAGAGAAACTACAGACATAAGAAAATGGGGAACTTTTATGACCGGCTATCACAATCACAGGACAGAAACTAAAAACAAGTGTCAATCTGAGGACAGCAGACAGTGCAGGAAATAGCTGGAAGCTGACCGCCTGCATTGTTGGACCAAAGTTCAAGACCAGACCCAGACCTGGCCTTGCCGCTTCTACGTATGGGCCCCAGGATGACGTCTCCTGATATGTGATCAATCGAAGCTGTTAGTCAGTCTGAGGTCTTCACAGAGCACCTGGCTCAGCTCATACGGATTGATCGGAAAGTAGGAGCTCAAAGAGTTTGTATACGTATTTAATTATAAAGAGAATTAAATATTGTTTATTTTAACCTGAATATCTTGGTCTTTACTGAAAAATTTCTGAATCACATCCCGACAACAGGACGCAATAAACAGTATGGCGCTTGGTGTTCCCAGAGGTCTCCCATCACAGTACTACCCAGTACGAACCTGTTGTTCCAGTTGCTTGAGTCGACGCCGCTCTCGCTCCTCGACTTCAGCCGGATCCAACAGAGACGTCATGGTCCGGAGGTGACTGCGGAGACAGACTTAGGTTACACTGTCGAGTCTTTAAGGATCAATAATGAACTATTGGGAAGATAAAATGTCTACATTGATTCTTAACAGATAATGGCTTATATATTTATCTAAATGGGTAAAAACATTCAAAATATGTTTATATTTCTGTTTTACTATTAATATTTGTATTATTATGTTTTATTAATTCGTCAATGTCAGAGCAGATCTTATTTGATTGTACTGTTTTTTTAAACCAGTGACGTGAGATTGAGAGTTTTATAGATTTTATATCTCAGCTGTTTTTGTCTGTTTTCTTTTCTTTTCTTTACTGCCCACTCCTGTGCAGCACTTTGGAAACAGGTTGCCAGATATGCCACATGGTTCTTTACCAGTGAGATTAGCTCCACGCAGTGAGTTCTGGCGCCTGGATCATGGACTTTCTGATTAGTGAAACAATGGAGGGCGGGACATGGAAATGAAAACCATAAAAAGATTTAGGGGCTGGAAAACTAATATCTCTGAACTCCTGTTATCAGTTAAAGAAGTATTAGAGAAGAGCATGGTTTTTGCCTTTTGACAGATTAGGGCCCTTTAATGATGACTTGACATGAAAATCAAAGTCGCTTATACCCTTTTAGACTTTCATAAGGGTATTTTCTTCTACTTTCTATCATTCTGGCCGGACATTTTGACACAAGGATAGCACAAGGGGAAACCATATTTTTAATTGATGCGATAATCCGTCCCGAAGGGTTACCTGGCTCTGGCCGCACCTCCTCCTCCTCCTCCTCCACCACCTCCTCTGCTGCAGCTTGTCTCCACACTGGTCCTGATGCTGGCCTCCTCCCACTGGGACAAACTGGAGCCCGTCTGCCCCCTCTCGAAGCAGGGGGGAGGGGCGAGCGGGGGTCTCTGGAGCGACTCGAAGTGAGACGCCCACAGCTGCGGATCCTCCGTCTGCAACACAAGACTGGATCAGAGCTGACGCAAACAAGAGTGATTATTGCGCTGGTCTTCTCAGAATTTCAAACACATTTTTTTAAACAAATTAAAAAGGTGGAAATACAGAGATTGTTGAGAAAATTGCCTTTTACAAATGTCATCCCAGTTTGTTCATTCATTTCTATTTACACATAACAGAGCAAACTCAAGTACAATAATATACTTTGAGAGGGGTTAGTGATTGGTAGTCACATGGATTTTATTCCATGGATACAAATCTGTAGTTTGAAAGTCAGGTACCCCAGTCTTAAAAGTAAAAGCAGCAGTAGTGGCTGTAAACATTCCAATATTGAAAGCTTGGGTCTCGCCTGTCGATGTTGCAGTTTCTCGAGCCGTCTTCTTTCTGTGTTTTCCTCTCGTTGTTTGTCGAGTTCTTGAAGCCACAGTTTCCTCTGCTCCAGTTTCTGCTCCTGCGTCAGCGCCGCCTCATCCAGCGGCACAAACTCCTGCAGGGAAAGACCAAACGGATCATGAATAAATGACAACAAAAGCTTTTATCAAGGCTACGTGCATTTGTGAACAGGTCGGCCGCTGTCGTGCTTCTCTGTAGAGTTTAGACATAAGGCGACAGGGGCTCAGTTGGTAGAGCCTTTGGGCCTGAAGGTAATTGGTTCGATCCCCCCACAAGACCTATTCCAACTGCTCCCACTGATGTCTGCTGTCGTTGTGTCATTGCACTATTTATACCTATTGCCCAATATGATAAAAAGAAATAAAAGCATAATTATCCAACAGCCTTTTAGATTTTTGAAACACAAGTTTACCCCGACTTTGAGGCTGGACCTGACTGCAGCAGGAAGGTCCATGTAGCTGACGGAGCTCTGGACTGAGACCAAATTTGCGGCGGCGTCCTCCCCCTGAAACCAGAGACACAGAGACACATCTACGGTCAGATCTTAGGCTCATCAAAATAAATGTATATGTATATGTATATATATATATATATATATATATATATATATATATATATATATATATATATATATATATATATATATATATATATATATATATATATATATACACACACACACACACACACACACACACACACACACACACACACACACACACACACACACACACACACACACACACACACACACACACACACACACACACACACACACACACACACACACACACACACACACACACACAGTACTAACTAAATTGTAGTGAGAGCAAAAAACTAGTCACATAATTAGTTTGTTTTAAGTATTTAGTAAACCATGACTGAAAACACTACACATAAGGAACGGGACAAAACTCATTTTCCAAGTGGTGAGATTAGGACAATATTGACTGTGACAAGTTTTTGTTGTGAAATGAATCTTACATCTAACTTAATTGCAATCTATCAATAGGAAAATGCTCAAGTGTTTATATGCAGCCAACTCCCAACAATGAATAACAAACACATAACAAAATTGTGCATTTCAAACCCCACACTATATCAATGGATTTTTATCTATTTATATGATTAAAACAGGGACAATGAACATTCACTGATCTAATCTTGATGATAAACCACTACTATTTATTATTTAAATCACATTTCTATATCAAAATATGACCCTTTAATTGAATTATTTAACCTTCATTTAACCAGGAAAATCCCATTACATGTCAATGATGTTCTCAATCTGGAATTAAAAGCATTCAGTGGATAAACTAAACTAGGGATAAACTAAACTAGGGATAAACTAAACTAGGGATAAACTAAACTAGGGATAAACTAAACTAGGGATAAACTAAACTAGGGAAAAACTAAACTAGGGCGACAGTAGCTCAGTTGGTAGAGCATTGGCCTTCAGGCCTGAAGGTCGTGGGTTCAATTCCCACCTCGACACCTTCTCCACCGACACCCGTTGTGTCCTTGGGCAAGACACTTAACCCCACTTTGCCCAAAGCCCCCACTGAAAGATCAAGGCTATGCTCACACTCAGAGAGCAGCCGTCCTCCTGTGGACTCACCACCTGCAGAGGGTCAGTGAGGGGCTGGTGCTATGAGACTTGGGTGGCATCTCTGACTGCCACCCCCCTGACCCAGAAATGGATTAAAGGGTAGAAAATGGATGCATGGATGGATGGATAAACTAAGTTATTTATTTGCATAATCACAGCAGAATCTAACTTCTCTGCAGACAGAAAGCAGCAGAAGCAGCAGTTACCTGGAGTCTGGCAGGAGCAGAGCGCTGATTCTTTGATGCAACTTGTTGATCTGAATCAGAATTAGTTTTAATGCCACGGTAAGAAACAAAGACACAAACTAGGGCTTTGGGAAACAAGTATTTACAACAAGTATAAAACAGACATGAGCCACTATTTAATCAAACCGTGTGAAGAAAGAGCGGTGTGTGTGTGTGTCGTACCCAGTTCTCGTTTCCATTGAGCCTTCTTTGCTTCCAGTGCAGCTCTGTCCTCAAACGGCCGCTCCTCCACCCAACTCAACAGACCTCCAGATCTGAGCAGTAAAGAATAAGATGCACTAGTAGTAGCAGTGGTAGTAATCCATTTCAAACTAAAAAATACCGTTTAAAAAAGGAGTTTGACGAAGCAACACAATACACAGCACTCAGGAAAGACCCAGACCCAGACACTCTCTGACCCCACACCTCTCAATGGCTTTCTCTGTTATGTATTATTGCATATTAAACGTTCTTAACAGGATTCCTCGCAGATGTAGAACGTAAGTATGAGCGATTACTAACCATTTGGGCTTACAAGAGATTATTCACAAAATTCAATACTGCACATACATGAAGTCTGCTGCTGGCTTTCGGAATTTAAATATGAGGAGGCGGGACTTATGCAGTTAGTCAATTATCCAGCTAATTTACATACCAACCTTGATCTTTCATAACTGGCATATTATTTGTCATTTTAAAATGTTTTATATTTTGTAGTTTTAATAATTTTTTTTTTTTTTTTTTTTTTTTTTTTTTTTATTCATTCCGAGCAAGTAAGCGGGCATAGAAATAATTAGTTCAAGCAACTTAGGTACATGTACAAAATATAACAAAGGGGTAATAACAAAAAGAGTGAGTGATACTAACATAACACTTATGGATGCTCGAAAAGGAGTGGGAAGAAGTGAACACTTATTTAATCCCACCCCTAATTACTTCAGTCATTACAAGGGTAAAGTAAAGTAAAGGCTCCGGTTTTAGCTCCAACGTAAATTTAGCACAGATATCAAAATCTTAAACATATTGTTCATAAGCAAAATTAGTTATTGAAAATATCATCAGGGACAAATGTAAAAAATAATAATAAAAAAATAAAAAGAAACTACATGCAAAAACAATTTAAAAAAAGAAATACCAACAATGGTAATGAACAGCAAATACCAGCAATGGTAAGGAAACATACTCCAAAATGTATTAACAAGAGCAAGTACATGCCAACATGAGTTGAGGGAAAAGAAGAGAAATACATTCAAGTCATAATCTCTCTGTATTCGGACCAGACATTGTTTTTATATAATGTCTTAAATCTGTGAATATCTTGGCATTGCATCACACACAATAATGTGTGTGATGTTTTTTAATATATTGTAAGGCGTCCTTGAAATGAATTATTATTATTAGGTTGAACTTTCAAATAGTTTTGTCATGTGAGGCTTGAACACTCTAAAGATGGAAGGACTTTTTCATTTACCTATGGACCTCATTGTGTCCTTAGTAAATATGAATAATAATAATAATAATAATAACCTCTTGTCGCTGTGAGGCACATTCCCAGTTTCTCTTTGCTCCTTTGTTTCTTTTGGTCCCTTCGTTTCCCTCGGTGCAGGTTCAGCGACACTCTGGATCTCTGAAGATAAAAATAAATCATTCTGTTTGTATGTTTGAAATTGAAAAAAAAATTGTTTAAATAAATAAGCCTTCATACCTTCAGTGATTGGAGGGTAGTCGTATATCTGAACCACATTAAGGATTCGGTGAAGCTGCTCATTGGTCAGACACGCCTCACCGTCCTGCAGTGTCGCGCTCTGATTGGACGGTTCAACTTTTGGTTCCGCCTTCTTCTTAGGCTCTTCTGGTTTCCTGTTGGCTCTCACATTTTTGGGTTTTGCCGCTTTCACCTTCAATCAAAAACACTATTATTGACATGTGTCCACTGCTACTTTACTTTAGCTGTGAATGCGTACAGTAGTTTCATCATGTGAACATTTGAACCCTCAGAGACATACTACCTTATATTCTTGCACTAGACGATATTATTGATTTTTTATCTACAGATGTATACATGCAAGTATATAGGTCTTTGCACTACACTACACAGGTTTATTCTTTGCTTATGAAGACAGATTTTATAGTTGTGCCATACTGATATTGTAAATGTAAATGTGCACTTTATTGATCCCCTTAGGGAAGTTTGTCCTCTGCATTTGACCCATCCGGATGCCACTAAGGCTTACGTCAGGAGCAGTGGTCACCGTAGTACAGCGCCCAGGAACCCATCGCCAGAGCTGGAAGATTTTACCTAGCGAGCATATTTTTAGTGGTAGGGGAAACCGGAGCACCAGGAGGAAACCTAGGCAGACACGGGGAGAACATGCAAACTCCACTCAGAAAGGCCCTGTTCCGACCGGGATTTGAACCCAGGACCTTCTTGCTGAGAGGCCAGAGTGCTGCCCAGTGTGGCTGAGTCACATATTCACAAAATTCACTTATTTTGTGCTGTGTGCTCCTCATACCTGCTGCTCTGTAACTTGTGATGCAACACTGAAATTTCCCCAATTCGGGATAAATAAAGGATCTCTAAGTCTTGATAATAGAAACGATTTACTTTTCCAACTTGTGTCTTCATATAAACCTTTGTATTTCTCTTACCCGTCGGAGCGTAGATACCAAATTCCAAACAAAAGAGGACTGGCTACTTTCCTTGATTTTTGTTTTGTTTATTAGAGTAGGGGCAGATAAAGAAAACATAACCTGTCGTACGGTAGTCTAATGGATGCATCATGGTACTTATAGCCTTAAAGCTAGTTTGTAGTACTTGTCCCTAGATTTATACAGCAGAATAAAACGCTAACAAAACAGTCCAATGACACTACTGTTGTGGTAACGGTTACTGCTTGATACTAAACCAGCCGTTTGAACAAAAACCTCTTTGGTCTATTGTGAATTACTATCCTTGATCTTACCACCACCAGTAGCTCGACCAATGGAGACAATTGTAATCAACGTCATCCAATCAGGAGGCTGTGGGGATTAGCGTGGGCTGGTAGAACTGGTTTATGCATTCTGAAATGTTCACTCTCTGACTCCCTCTTCACAAGTTGCACAATTCACTTTAAAAGATCAGTGGAAAAAAAACTGTTTGTAGGTGAAAATCCACAACAGAGTAAAAAAACATACCTTGGCATTAGTTTGAACTTCATTCCCCGGAGTTTGAGTGACTTGAGTCCTTGAGGTGGTCCCTGCTCGGCTCTGCGCTCTGACTGGGGCCCCTCCTTTTCCAGTTTTATTCTGCGGGACCCTCACGTTCTGTGCAATGTGCTTTTTGATTGGTTGTCCTTCTGCTCGAGGTGTGAGCGTATCCAACCGTGAGGGAAGTCGGCTTAAGACACTTGGCAGTCTGGGCCTTGGCTGCAAATATAAATTAACAGAACGATAATTAAACTCCTTATTAAATAGTAGTAGTTAATTAGTTAATTAGTAAATTTCTCCTATGTGAGATAAATAAAGCAAATCTTATCTTATTCACAGAAATTAGAGACTTTGATATCTTGAGTGTATGCAAAATCATATATAAATAATGAAAAGCATACAATATAATGAAAGATAAAAGTACTCATAAAAGATGCCAGTGTTTATTCACATTAAAGTATGAATTACCTTCACTGGATTCGTCTGAACGTTCCCACCTGCAATGACAGAGATCACATAGGAGTCATTTGAGCCAGACTTTCATCAACAATTAATGAACAAAAGTTACCTCCGTTTAGAAGGATCAGCCTGGGTTTTCCATTGTCCAGCTCAAACAGCAAACCATCTCTGATAAGAGAAAAGAAAGTAGAATTTTATGGTTGAATCATGTTAACTACTATACTGTGCATATTAAAGAATTATTAAGACTTGGCTGTTTTGACGTCCATAAACAAATGGTAAATTATGATCTGTACAAATAACGCAGACATCAGAGTGTGTATTCTAGTTCCAAAATATGTATTCACAAACTAATTATCTTTATTTAAATAATACGGATTAAAAGGACGGGAAAACACATTTTCTTATTTCAATTCATGGAGTATTTGAAATCTAGTAAGTGGAACAGATAAATGTAAATATCAGATTTGGGAGCTGTTGTCCCTTTTAGTCGACCAATGGTTTCTTTGGTCCACCAACTCTGCCCCTAATTGGTGGGTTACATGTCCTCTAAGGGATTTAGTTTGTTTAAAAGTGGTACATAAGGTAATTAGACACATATTGGCTGCATTATCAACTTTTGGCACCTTCTGTATATATTCCAATGTTAAATACCAGGGTATATAGCATTAGAATATATGCAGAATTAGCCATATAGAATAAATACAGAATTAGCCATATAGAATAAATACAGAATTAGCCATATAGAATAAATACAGAATTAGCCATATAGAATAAATACAGAATTAGCCATATAGAATAAATACAGAATTAGCCATATAGAATAAATACAGAATTAGCCATATAGAATAAATACAGAATTAGCCATATAGAATAAATACAGAATTAGCTATATAGAATAAATACAGAATTAGCTATATGTCACCAGCATTTCTTGGCAGTGTCTTTGAGCGTACAAACAATTTATATAAAACCAATGCTTTTTTTTTTAAATACATTTTGTGCAAAGTGTTGTCATGCTAGGCCTGCATAGCTTTAACTCTTGTGTTTTCCTGGGCAGCGCTATGTCCATGCGTGGCTCTCTCATGGTTCTCTGCGTTGTGTTTACAGATTTGACAGTTAGCTCCGCAGCCTCATGCTAACGTCAGAACCTCTCACTCACCCCAGGTTCATGCCGGCGGCTGCTTGGCACAGTGGTCCGTAAATATGAACTGCATTCGAATACGGAAATAAAAGAGCAACAACTATTTTTGTCAATGTATAAAATCACATTTTAGTTCAAATCCGTGGCAGCGGCGTGTCCAATCTGCCGTGTGTACGTTAGATACTGCGACAACAGCTAATAAGGGCGCTGCTGATTGGCTGAATTCAAGAAGGCTGAACCAATCACATCTAAATGATATTACTTTAAAAATTACAACATTTATAAAGTTTTTATTTGACAGAAAACTGTACTTTTGTAAAACTCATCTAATTATGTTTTATCCTTGACCTCTAATCAATAATAATATTGCTTGATACAATAAACAATGTATCTTGATAAACAATGCATGCTTGGAATATGAGTGTAAAAGACGTCTTGAACTGGTTGAAACATATTACCACTTTTTTCTTTGTGTTTTTCACATTTACCCTAGTTTACATCGTTATTAATAACTTATAAACCTTGGATATTGCACTACCAGCCTCCGCCTGAAGGGGGCGCCCGAAGCTCTGCGTTGCCGTTTACTCTAGCCTCGCTCCATGGATGTTTTTCCTCCGTTTACGAGCCCGGATTACAGGGACGGACACTCATGATTGTGCCCCCCAGTTGAAGCACTCTTCCCCCACAAAAGCAGCCCCGTATCCCGCCTCACACCCCAACGGTAAGTGGTTCGTTTGTGTTGAGAAGAGACCCACTGCGTAACGTCAAACCGCGCTGTTAGCATGTAGCATCGCGGCTAACTGAAGACACATTATTTATTTATCTTTAACGCCAAACCCAAAGTTATGCTGTTAATGCCATGTATTTTTCCAGACGATAATTTATAAGGAGTGGTTTCGATACGTGCTGGGTGTTTGATTCATAATCGAAAGTTATTTTAAAGGCAAAAAAATAATAGATTTAGCTCGTTAGCGTGTTGTCAAGCTAAGGTCAAGAAGAAGCTGACAGAAGTCTATAAACGTGCTGCTAAATGTGTCCAAGTAGTAAAAATCTAAAACATGCATTAGGACTGCAACAATTCTGTCCAATCATACTGTTAAATATCTATAGATGTTTTGCGTTAGCCAGGCATCATGTTATTAAATGTATAGCTTGTTTTGTTATTCTATGGCTAAAATGGGCTCCTATTGTACAGCGTGTTCTATGTCACTATTCTTTCATTTAAGTTATGTTTGATGGCACTTTAGCTTTAATTCGTTAAACAAGTCAACATAGTATTTTGTTGCATATTGTTGTAGAGTTCAGCAGTTAGAAAATACTGCTGTGTTGTTTTAAAAGGAGTTGATATGGAGGCAGAACCGAGCCCACAAATACAATCAAAACAACAACAATAGAGCTCTTTTTAGTTGGCTTACATTTTCATGATGGGGCTTAAATGTCTGTAGAGGGCGTCCTGTGGTGATTGCCTAATTAATTTAAATCTAAATTTAGAATCTGTCAGACTAGTTTTTGACCTTGTTTGATATTGGAGTCATGTATGTTGGCATGATCAGTACAGTCTTGTCCATTGACTTGTCCATGAATTTTGGTTGGAAAAGTGTACTTGCTTGAAATATTTATTAATGACAAATAATCTAGTTAAATATTTAAACATGCTTGATGCACATACCTGCAGCTACAGTGAATGCATATGTAATTCCTTTGTGCAGAGATATTGTGCGCTACTAAACAGATTAAGACAAGTCAAGTTTATTTGTATTGCACAGTTCATACTCGCAGTGCTTAACAAAACAAGAAAAACGCTAAATTCACACAAGACAATGGGCATTAAAATAAATAATCAATAACCACAGTGCATTACAAAGAGGAGTGGTAAAAGCCCTCAGTTGTATACACAGCTAAACAGAACTCTTTTTTTTTTTTTTTTTTTAAACCTGGATTGGAACATTGTCTGAGTAGAAGCTTCACATTTTCCGGAAGACTGTCTGAAACGCTGCCTCTCCATAGATAATGCCACGAATAATTGAATAACTTGTTCCCTGTTTTGTTCTGAAAATGTAGCCCTGGGATAAAAGATTGGAGTATTCATCGCATTATAACCTGTATTCAAACTTCAGGAATCACACAATAGTTATTTGTGTAGAACTATGTGGGAGAAAATTCAACTGAGCGGGCTGCCAAAACTTTCAAAACTCAGAAACGAGATGCTATGACTTATAATTATAATAGTTGGATTGTTGTGGCCTGAATGAATGAACAGCAGATACTCACAGCATCGTTATCAGCTCATCTAGAGAGTGTTTGTTTGTTTAATTCAAATCTACAGCGTCTTGTGATGACTGCTGTTCATTTACTGCAGAACACAGCTGTTTGTCTATTCCTCCTCGCATCACTGTACGTGCTGATGCAGGTTAAAACTGTCCACTGTTTTGTCAGACAAGGCAAGTTCACAATGGACTCGTGTGCGTTTTTGCTGTTGTGATTTTCAGTGAGCGTAACCAAAACACTGGCGACAAAGTGGAAAATTAACTATTGTGTTTGTAATGACAACTTGAGGATGAGTCCGCTTTCAGAACTGAGGTGGTTTACTCAAGTAGTTTGTAGAGTTCAACTGGAGGCGTGTGTGTGTGTGTGTAGTTTTAAACGCTGTGTGTTTGAGAAAAGTCGGATGGAAACCTTAAAACAAATTATTATATGACTTGGACCATACGCACGCTCTGATTGGCTGATTACCGGTCTGATATTTTCCCATCTCGAACCGTTACCATGGCAATTGGTCCGAACAGTGCGTATCACATTTGATATCTTTCCTCGGACCGTTACCATGACAATCTGTCCGCAGCGTGTATCACACAAAACTAAGTCGGACTAGGGATGTAAATCGGTGACAGTTTAACCGGTGATTGACCGTCACAGCGTTAACCGGTCAAAACTGTCGGTTAAAAAAAATAAAAGGGGGAGAGGGGAGGTATCTTAATAACGCCATTTTAAGCCCTATTTGCACGGTGTGACGAGCGGGTCTGTCTCTAGCTGTGTGCGCAAATGTATCAGTAAACTCCGGGACGACTCGCACGCGGCACATATGCTCGCACACTTGCACGCACGCGCACACTCACACACTTTCCCCCTATCCAAACGTAACATCCACACGCATCCTCTCTCCCCTCTGTTACCCAAAGTTGCACATTGGAGCTTACACACACACACACACACGCACACGCACACGCACACACACAGACGCGCGCACACACACACACACACACACACACACACACACACACATACACGTTTTTGTTACCTGGTGGGTCCCTTTGACAGGGCCGTTCAGAATGGGACCCATAGACATAATCTTTTTTTACCAAGACTTTAAGTAATACAAAACAGTCAATAGAAACCAAACAACTATTTTAAAGGAATTTTATTTTAGATTTTGTTTTCGAATTGCAGTGATTCTATTTTTGACATAGAATTTAATGCCACTCCATGTCCGATGTCTAAGGTCATCTGGTGAGGCATTAATGCAGGCCAGGCAGTGAGACTTCCCAGGGACCTTTCCAGTCTGTATGAAAGGTGTCATGGTCTTCTCCACAGCCTTCACCTCAGATGCAGACCATGGCTTTCTTACACGTTCTAGGGAGAGAAATAAAAATATATTAGCAATATACACTCCCAGGGTGAGGACCAAGCAGCCTGGCTGTAATCCCCCACCTGGTACACTTACCAGAAGGGGCACTGCCACTACCATGGGGTGCATCTGGATGAATGGTTGAAGGTTCTCCGCTTGAAGTTTCTTTTAGCCCGTCCGTTTGTGAGAGGATCTCTACTGCTCTCCCTGTCGCACAGAAAATAAAAATACAAGTGGCCTTTAGGGGAAAAAAATCATACATATTTTAATAATATCAAGAATTACCTTCAGGCTCAATTTGTATCTGGTCGAGGCTCTTTCCTTCGAATTCCGTCACTCTTCCCTGCTCCATGGCCATCAACACTTTGCTGATTTTGGCCAGCTCCAGTGTCCCCTCTGGTAGTCTGTAATATTGCCTGTGGATGCGAATGTCATGGCCGAGGAAGTTGGCAAGTATGTCCATCTCATTCTCTTTCATATTGAGAACTGTAGACATAGTAGCTATGTGCTTTCTAAGTTTGGTTGAGGATAGCATCTCTGGATGCACCGCACCACATTCTTTGGCTACCTGGCGTAGGGAGTCTGATCCCCTGATGTGGGTGTCTGCGCCCGGGCGGGAAAAGAAGTATGGGTTATGGTCAGAGATGGAACAGGCCCTTCTGTTCTCCACCAGCACCTCCATCGAAGCAATCATTTCAGGAGTCAAAAGAACCGGCACTTTCCGACTTCTTTTCCCTTTAATTTCAATGCGTTGAAAATGCTGACACAGCTTTTTCTCAAGTTGGGACAGTCCCAGAGCAATGTCAGAATGGATCCCAGTCTTACTTCTTAAGGTAAAGGCTGTCAGTGGCATCTTTGAAACCTCACCTTCCCTTCTTCGATTGAAAATGATGACCTCACAAAGAGTCAAAACTGCCAGTTTAGACCAATGCTTAGACGTTGGCTCACTTATTAGGGTTTGCACATATTCAGGTCGACATACCTCAATATGTGCATGCATGGCTCTAACGTCCTCAGTCAGAGGGAGCAGGTCCGGAGTGTTCCACTTGGCTTGCCGGAGGGTCTGTAGGGCAGCAGAAGAAACACAGACGTCCCACCTCTTCTCAAAAAGCAGCCGGCTTCGTTGGAGGTTTTTAATAAATAGTTCATCAACACAATGCTCCATTTTTGAGTCACATTCAAGAATATCTGCTAGCTTTCTGAGGCTATGGCCGAGTTTGAGGGCCAAGGATGGAGTCTTGTATTGATTTGTTTCCTCATCATATCCAGCCACAGACCTGACTGCATCAATCACATGGTTAAAGTTGGAAGGAATAAAGAAATCCTTAATTGTTTTCAGTTTCCCTGCGGTTTTTGCTTCGTTAATTAACCTACCGACTTCTCTCATTTTCTGCCTAATGTAAT